ATCTTTTTGATTTTTTAAATTAATACTTATTTTGGACCAAATTATTTGGTTAAAATTAAAATGACATCTATAAAAGACCGGAGGAAATATTATGTGACTAGTCTTTATCATGATTAAAATTCTTGATAGAATTAATCGGATTTCTGTAAAATCAACTTTCTCTAAACATTACAATTTCTAGTTGATGTGTTTCTTTCTTGCTGTACGACTATGAAATTTTGTGACATGCTCTATGCAATTTTCAAAAATTGGGCCCCGCGTATGTGCCTTCATAGCTAAGAAATAAATTAAATATCTCATTTTATTGTGTTCCATTATATTCAAAAATTTTGAGCAGTCAAATTAGATACCAAATTGATGACTAATAGCTCTATAAAATCTAGCCATTTAAAGTTTGATGACCAAGTTTCGAGTTCTTTTTCTTTTTTGCTTATTAGAGCCATCATTTGAGAAGATAAAGTCAAAAGACGGACCTAGCGTATTCAGGAGCGAGTTCAATTGAACTCATCATTTTAATAATCGACCATAGAGATATATTTTTGTATGTATGAGTAAGAAGTAGTTTAAATATTACGATTTTGAATTTATATTTTCAAAGATCTTAGAACCTGAAATCTATTAAGCTTAGATTTTTAATTTATCTTTGAGTAGAACAAGTCGGGAGGGAAAAGAATGGAGAGATAAAGTCACTTGAACGATTGTTTTTCTTTTTAAAGAAAAAAATGTTTTCCTAGTTCAAACTTCTCTAATGAAGAGTCATTTTAATAGATTTTCTTGTTTTGGTTTACAAGTATAAATTATATTTTGATGACACATAGGTCTTGCCTTTTTTTATTTTTTTGATATAGGTTTTGCCTTCGTATCAAAAAACATATTTTACTTTCGCAAGAATATTCTTAAGAAAAAATCCATCACACAAAAGAATGAAGGAATGACGAACGAACTATATGTAATAAAGATCAAAGAACAGCCCAATTCAGTCGACAAAAGAACTAGGGAAATAAAGAAAAAGAAAAGAGAAATAGATCTCAAGAAAAAGAAAAGGAAGAGAAAAAACAAGAATCTAGATAAAGAAAGGGAAACAGTCCAAATTTACTATAGTCTACATCTCACCTCCGATTATAGTATTCGGCCAAATTTACCCCTACCGTTATACTATTTGGCCAAATTTATTTATACAACAAACTTTTCAAAATTAGCTATCAATCCGTTAGGTGACCCAGAATCTCCCAAATTATTTTAGTTAAATCACTTATTCTTCTTCTCGATCCACTATTTTCAAAATAGTTGACATTTACCTACTTTCTTAATTAAAAAAAATAATAGAAAGAAATATTAAAATAATGCAGCAGTTAGTAAACAAAGTATAGTAAATTGAAGAATTTAAATTAAGTAGCTTGTCTAAATTTTAAAAGTATTTACAATACCCCCAACTTTAATGAATTCGTTCCACCAAAGGTATGAACACTTTGCAAGTATTAGTGATAGAAGATGAAGTTCCTTTGAAATTTTGCGTTGTCGAATTCAACTTTACATTAATCAAATGCCTACGCATTGTGCACTCTTAAGTTAGTCGACCGAACTCTATACTAGCTAGACAATTACAAAATATATTCGAATATACATGTACATACATGATGAGTAGCCGCATATAATATATAACAAATAGACCCACAGAATTCTGCGGTGTGAATATGGTTGAAAAATTATTAAATTTTTAAACCAATTCCAAAATTATTATCACAAGAAGAGAAGTGAGTGCAATGGTAATTAAAAATATCCATGGATAATTTGTATAGTTTAGCACCTTTAGCATTCACATTGATAGTAATTTCTGAAAATAGTGGATCAAGAAGAACAAGTGATTTAAATAAAAGAAATTTGGGAGATTTTGAGTTACCTAACGGACTAAGAGGTACTTTTTAAAAGCTTACTGATGGTGGAGATAAATTTGGCCGAATAATATAATTATAGGGGTAAATTTGGACCTTTTCCCTAAAAGAAATGAGAAAAAAGGGAATACACGTACGTAAATTCTGTATCAGACAGAGAAGATGCCTTTGGAGAAGGTCATAAAGGTTTAACGCAACATTAAAATATTATCATATATAGGGTGTGTTTGGTATGGAGGAAAATATTTTTCATGGAAAATTTTCTATGGAAAATATTTTCCTAAAAAATGTTTTCATGGAAAAAGAGTAATTTTATCACTTATTTTCCCTTGTTTGGTTGGTGAGTAAAAAATAATTTTTCAAAAAATATTTTCTAGTGTTTGGTTAGAGATTAGAAAATATGTTTTTAGAAANCAATACCCAACATTTTCAAGACTCTATTTTTTCAACAATTTAATTATTCTTTTAAAAATTCACACAAATCCAAAGGAACTAATATGCTGCTTTACTTTTTGTTACGCAAAACAACATTGAAATTTATGCTCCATAACTATAAAAGAATACTCTTTTTTGGTTGAAAAAGAAAGTACTCTTTCTCCAACATGAAAATAAAGTAATTATTTTATTGAAATAAAAGAAAATACATTTTCTATATCATGAAAAGAAAATACTCATTTTGTTAAAATGAAAAAAATATTTTTTCTATATCATGAAAAGAAATTACTTTTTTGTTGAAATGAAAGAAAATACTTTTTCTATATCATGAAAAGAAAATACTCATTTTGTTGAAATGAAAGAAAATAATTTTTCAACATCACGAAAGAAAGTACTTTTTCTTTGTATCATGAAAATAAAATACTCATTTGTTGAAATAAAAAAAAAATCTATCTATAACATTAAAAGAAAGTATGATTAATAACATTTTTATTTAGGGTGGGGGCGGGGTGAGGTGGGNGGGTGTGTGGAGTAGGTTGGTGGGGATGAAAAATTGGGTGGGGAAGGATGAAAAGAGTTTTGGAAAATATTTTCTCTTTTCTTGGCAGGGAAAATATTTTCCTCCAATTGAAGAAAAATGAGTTCTTGGGAAAAATATTTTCCAAAATATTTAAATCAATCAAACATGAAAAAAATATTTTCCGAAAAATACTTTTCTTCGTACCAAACACACCCTTAGAATTCTTTTGAAACATCCCCTCGTGGAAGAAAGAAACAAAGAAATACTAGAGACCACACGTTTAGGATTGTAGATAAATATTTGCAAAAAGACAACACTGTAAAATACTTCTTCCACGTCTCTAAGGTACAATTTTAACAAAAGATTAAGCTCTACGCACCAATTGGGTAAAAATATTTATACATAGATTACTTAATTATAAGGGGACTACTAGTAAATAATTATAATAAGTATAATTGGTAACCTAATAAAAATTTTAACTTACTACCATAGGTAACAACTACATTGATAGTCATTTTTGTTGGGATCGAAATAACAAGGCGTCATGCTGAAACTAGCAAAGTAAATTTTGAACGACGATAAATCCGACAACAAAGAAAAGTATATTAAAAGAGGTATGATAGTTTAATATGATTTGGTCGATTGACCTACATATAAGAAAATAATATAACAAATATAAAAAATTATCGAAAAAATAATCTTCCCCTAATGAGATTCTTTTAATGACTACATGATGAATGCTATTGTAGTGTTGTCATATGAGAAGGAAGAATCTTTGATTTATAAAATTGTGAAACTTCTTCCAAGAAAAGGATCTGTCAAATATGAAGAGATCTATATTTTCTTTTTAGGAATAGTAAGTCAATTATGGTTAATATTTTGTCTTTCCCTCAAGTAAAAAAAAACTCAAACATGGTAAGGAAGTCAGGGCAAACCCTTACAATTCTCCCAGTTTGCTTGAGTTTCTTGACAAAATTTGATTGCCGTCTTCACAATCTTCATCACTGTTGCTTGTCATAATTAAAAGTGGGTATGAGTTGAAAATAGGAGCCTTGTGCATAAGTGAACACGAGTTGAAAATATTGGAGCCATATGTTAAAAGTGAAATCCTGCATTAAAAATTAACAGGGTTAAAAGTGGAACTAATATTGTGGATGTTATTATAATGTTGTTGCACGAGAAGGAAAATCTTTAATTTGTAGAAGTGTGAAACTTCTCCTTTAGTAAAAAGATCTATCAAATATGAAAGAGATTTTTATTTTCCTTTTAGGAAAAGTAAATCAATTATAGTTAATATTCTGCCTTTTCTTGGAGTAAAGGAAAAATCCTAATATGATACAAAAAAAAATGGCAAATCCTAACAATCCTTCCATTTGATCAAAGACATTCAAGCCGAAGTAATTCAACTTACTCAAAAGGAGAAAAGCGTTAAGCATCCTCAACTATAGCTCCAGAAGGCTCTAGTTCTGTGAGTTTTTACTGAAGGTATTACCTATAGGCTATAATAAAATGAGTGAAAATAGTTGTCAACGCTTCTTAGCTAAGATCAGCTTGCTTAATTAGTAAGAAATTCTCGTAATTTGTCTCAGTAAACAAGGAATTTTGGTCAATCTGATTCTAGAAATTGAAAAATCAAGCCTCCACTAATTTGGCTTTTTTAAGTAATTGGTCAACATGTTAAGGAGTTAGCACACCAGATCCATTCACAAACACACGACACAGTATGATGCATTGAGACAGTCCAAAATGTCAATAGCCTAATCAAGAATAAGCTATGTCTAATTCCAATAGTCAAAAAGCAGACAACATCATGAACAAAAAAGGCAGATTATTGCTGACATCATTATTATGACAAGTGAATAAAATCAAATTTGCTAGTCCAAATTGAGCAACTTTAAAAACTTTTCATCTACTATTACCCCATAGTTAGGAAAGTCTCATTTTTACCCTTGACCTTTAAAGGAGCTTCAAATTGACAACTTGATGGTATTTTTAAATCATAGTAAAAGGTGGAGGGATAAATTGGGATAAACCCTTTTTCGAAGAATATAGACACGTGGAGTCAACCCATTTCATGCTGGAGCTCCATAAATAGTAAGGGCAAATATGAGACGATTTGCTAACGATAAGGGTATGAATGAACAAAAATGTAATAGTGGGCAAGATTGAGCAATTTCGTATAGTACATGAGCAAATTTTGACCTTTATGACAATAGACATTCTTGGGCAAAAAGAATTCAAGATCATAGTTCATATAGCATCCCCCTACAATCTCATAATCTGAAAATTACATATGGTCTATCATCAGCACTAAATTGAAGTCTGAAAGTGCAATGAGAAGTTAGGATGCCTTTGCCAAATGATCCTGCTGTGAATGCCAAGCCACAACATCTTTGTATGATAAGTTACCTCCGAATATATTCAAAGCACTGCCTACGGTGACATCCACACGCCCCATGCCTGCAACTTTGATATTTTCCAGATCATCCATTATAGTAACACCTCCAGCATATGTTACAGGAGTCTGATAGGAACATGAAGATAATTAGGTCACATAATATATTAAAGAAATAGCAAACCGAAAAGCACAATAGCATAGTACTAGGCTGCTACAAAGGTAAAAGTGTGCAACGAAAGGTTCAATAATGTTTCATCATAGCCCATACATGCATTAGGCTTGAGATTGCACACATCCTCTCAGGATATTTCTGCATGGGAGCTAAATGAGTATTATAACAATGTAACAGGTCTCTGCGCTTAAAGACAGATCATGATTCGTCAACCTTTCTAGATAGTAAAAGCAAATGAATGCAGGAAAAGAAGTGTTACTGCCATGTCTAGATGAGCACTGTCTAATGCAACCAATTTATACCGTCCCAAAAAATTGAGTGAATTTAGAAAGGATAATGGGGAAAACATATACACATAGGTCAAGAATCATGCCAGGCACTTACAGGGGAGTACTTGCCAAGCAATGCCACAAGTTCCTCATCTATTCCCAGCCTGAGGTACAAAAGAAGCAGAATGTCACGTTTGCTTAATGAACAGTGACACAAAAGCATGTCCCAATTTAACTAATCCATTGTTCTTCATATTAATATCGCATTCTAGTGTGTTATATTTTGAGAATGCAGCAGAAGGAGATACATGTAACAAAATTCAAGATCTTCACTTTTTCTTTCCAGCGATACTCAACAGCCAACAATTATAGTGGATTACAACAGCATACTTTTCTTCAAGCAGAGACAAATCAAGACATTTAAAGGTCAGTAGTATGCTTATTCAGAATTGTTGCTAGGGTAAATGGTTTGCCTTCAAAAAGTTACGGGAACAGTTGACATGGTTCTCTTTTCTCTTTCTTAAGCATATAGATAATAGTTGAACCAAATTTGTTTGGGATTGAGGAGCTGTTCATTGATTTCTTAAGCATTTTTGGCAGTCCGACAACTTGCGCAGTTTTGGTCTAAAATACCAAGCCATAGAACCTTTCATTATCACATCTATTTTAATTGTTGTAGCAACTCAACCAAGGGATAAGATATTGTGCTGGGACTGACTTTTTGCCTTCAACATCAACTCCATGAACCAGAAACTCATCAGCATACTGCGCAAGAAAATCCAGAAGCTTCTGATCGAGATGTACATCACTGAACTTCTGCCATCTGTCTGTAACAATTACATATTCACCCTCCTGCATGCCATAATTTCAGGTCATCGGTGTGACTTATATATGATAGAAGAAAGGAAGCATGAACTGAGTCAATTGCACAAATTTAATCAATGAATCCAGCGTAAGCCAGTCTCATTAACATTACCAATTTGGATTGCCTAGTTCAATAAGAAACATTCTGCAAGTAAATTAATTAGTTGTAACCCTTTAAGAATTCTTGTTTAATCTATTCTGACATGGCCTGAAGTTTTCTTTAGCCTTGCCAGGAAAAGAAGAATTCATATAAGATAGAACTAATTTCCTTAGGTTCCAGCAAAAGAAGACAATTAATCTATTTAAAAGCAAAAGGTAAGAGAGAGAAGAGAAGAGAGAACAAATTTACCCTTTTCCGGCAACTAAGATCCAAAACAAGCCTTTGTTTTCCAACAACGCGAGAGAGTTCCTTCAGTCTCTCAAGGTCCATTTGCCCATTGTTAAAAACATACTGCATTGTAGTAAAAAAGTATCCAATTAAGAATATCTGCATAATATTATTTTCTTTGGCAAAAAAGCCGTCAATGCCCCATTCATCAAGAATCCAATCGAGTAAAAGGAAAGCAAACACGATTTGAGACTATTTTAATTATTCAATCTAGAGAAATAAACGAGGTATAACAACAATTTCTCTGCAAAACTTGGGAAAAAGAACCATCAAAGAACACAAGAAATTCAAAGGAAATCATAATCCCTATGCTAACTATTTTTAATTTTTTTTTAAAAGAATCCCTATGCTAATGTTATACAATTCATCTTCAAAGCTTATTCCTTTTCCTGAATTTATCTATTGTTTCTAGTACATATTAATGCTGCAGATTTCAAGGTTTTATTCTGATTTGGGATATTAAGGCACTGTTGTTGGGTCTTTTGGGATTTAATACAGTTCTTTATAGCAAGTGTTGCTCACACAGACTAGTTCTTGTTTAAATTCCAAAGTATTTTCTGGTCAACAGGTTGTGGTTTGTCGATCAACCTTTTTTTTACAAGTTGGCAATTAACTTCTTCTATAGGAGAACTGCTGTCATCCTTCAGTATCAAGAACAAAAGGTTAACACAAATGTTACGTAAGGCCCTCTCCTCAGTCTCGCTAGCCCCTACCCCAGCTACTTGTAATTTCTCTCTTTTAATTCTGCAACTGATGCTGCTTCAACAGCACTTCTGCAGCCCAACCACCTTCAAACAGTAATCTGTCATTAATTTCATTGTTTGCTTCCAGATCAACCACATGTTTGCTTTAGCTCTTTCATCTCATGCTAGTTTACTTCCAGCCAACAAATGTTTATCATAGTTATACCAATGCTAAATTTAACCTTTTAGAGCTGGAAATAATGGCTCCGCAGAATTTTACTTGATCTATTAAACAAGTGTAGGTGCACATGCTGATTCAGATTAAGACGGACAATGACTCCTCCATGCCCTGCCCAATCCTACCAACAGACATGTGGAGAGGTCTGGACTGTTAGGTGAATACATACTAATATGAAAAGATCAATTCAAGGATTAGAATAGGCCTTCATCTGCTTCCATTCTCATGAAATGTGCAATATTAGTCTATTAGAAAAAAATCGTATTCAATGTGGTAGGCATTTAAATCTCTTTATATCCATGCAAATTGTACAAGTATTTTAATGATCTGTAAGCTCAAGAGATAAATGATAGCTATAGATCCTGAGAAAATGTAACATGAAAGAATGGCTCAAAAGATTGCTGCTTAACAAGAAATTACTATTGAAAACATACTGATGTGACAATGACATGGCTGGCTCCTTCTTCAATGTAACTTAATGAATTTTCCGATTTGATTCCACCTCCAACTTGCAACCCACCTAGATGTTTTTTTATCCTCAAAGGAGTTCACCAGAGGAAAAAATCTGTGAGATGAAATATAGTATCGACCCTATTCTAAGACGCTCACTGATTCCAGAAACAGAAATCGAAGTAAAGAGTTTCTTGGTAAAGTTGTAATTGAGGGGGTCAACAGCTTAAAGATCAAATGCAGTTAGATAATTGTATCAGTAACCAAGTAAAAATGAGGATTCGTGTAGCACACTCCAACTACTTTGGTATAGAGTTTAATTGAGTCAATTGGCGCCTAAACACACAATTTAGATAAGCTTGGTCTTCCAGGAAAATGGCATGAAAGATAAAAATGTAACATGGAATTGAAAGAGCACAGCCGAGAGTGGAGGAGTGCTACGCTATATGAAAATACCAAAAAAGGTGCAAGGCAAGCTGTAAATAAAGATTGTGAGACCAGAAAATGCGAGGAGCACACATATGGACAATATCAGAAATAATCACATCAGACAAAATGCAAAGTAGTAACACAAAGGACAAAATGAGAGAAGGTGCTCTGAAATTGTATGTCCAGTTTTAAATCAACCTTCATATGCATCTGCCAGTTGGTGAGGCAATATGATTGTTAAAGATGATAAAAGCTAATAGAATAGAAATCACATGAAACACAGTTATCTCAAAAGACCTACAACCTCCTATATCCAATGAGAATTTAGCTAAAAACATAATACTGCGGAAGTAGAAGACCAATATGAGCTGTAACTAGTTGGGTTAAGGCTTAGTTGTTGACTTTTATTACACTTAAATTAGGTACGATGTTTGTTAGGAGTCTTTTTATTCTGGTTAGAGATGCATATGCTCATATAGGGAAAAGAGTGAGATTTAGCAAATTTTAGAGAACCAACAATTTGTTCTATTATTGAGCATTGGAATAAAATTAATCTACATCTAGTGGAAATGATACGGAGAATTCATACAGCGGACCCCACTTGTTGTTACTGCTTTTTACCTTCTCAAGGTAGGGGTAAGGTTGTGTACGCACTACCCTCCCAAGATCCCACTTGAGGGATACACTGGGTTTGTTGTTGTTTTTGTTGTTGTTGTAATAGCACATGTGCACGATTGTGATACTCGGATAAAGCATCTGCGGCTACTGTGAAGTTTGATAGAAGTTTTCTAACAATACTTTCTATAACAGCATCAAATCACATCCTCCTTTTTAGAAACCTCAAAAAGTAAACTCTTAAAGATGGTGTTATCAGTATGCTTAAGAATAATTTGATTGCTTTCATTATTGAGAAGCTTGTTTATCTCACAGAAAAAGAACCTGTAATCTCTATAACATCAACAACTAGAATAAACAGAGATATACATTGTTATGACGCAAAGGTCAGACAAGAAAGATTGGAATGGCAAAAAAGACAATTACTGTTAAAGAAACAAGAAAAAAGAACACTAATTACCAGGGTAAGCATGCAATGCTTCAATTGCAGCTGATATGCTCAAAGGATCTACTCCAAGCATAATAACATGGCCACCTAAAAGTCCATCATCTCTGTAAAGCTTTGCATATTCTGCAGCTGATTTATCAGATTCAAAGTTAGTGACCAGACTCATATTTCCATCCTTAGAATCTCGAAGAGTGGATCCAACAATTTGTTTAACTTTTCCCTGAAACACAACTTAATTTTTGTAAGTATTCAGTATTGAATAATGTGATCTAAGTAACAAAAATTCTGAATCAAGTGCAACTCTGACCTTGTCAAGTAATCATCACATACTCGAAGGATTTCTTCACCTTCTCTAACATATACATACCTATTTTAACAAGTTTCAAGTATGGGTGTTTAACGGGCGGGCTGGGACGGGCTGGACACAAAAAAAATCAGCCTGTCCGTTTAACGTTGCGGGCTGAGTTAACAGGCTGTACTTTTTCGGGGTTTTTTTTGTCCGTCCGGGTTCGGGCTTAGCGGGCTGGACCGGTCCGTGCAATTTTTATTTTTTTTTAAAGTAAATTTTGTTTTTCTTATTCAATGTTATTGATACTTAAGTGTTTGCAAACTTTTAAGGCTTAGAATTAAACTTTGAAGTTTAAAGTTTTAAATTTGAAATTTGAATTTTACAATTTTAAAATTGAAATTTGAAAGTAAGTGGCTACAAAAAATTATTTAATAAGACCAATAGGCAATATGTAAGGATCAAGCTCCGAAAACTTTCATTTGATATTTTTATTGAATAATATATAATACTTCAAATTAAGTTGCAAGTTCTTTTTTGATTTATTTATTTTTGAACTTGCAAATTAAAAGTTTACAACAATTATAAAAAAAGAAATAGTACATCACATGCTTTGCATCATTTTTGTAAGTTCATCCATGTCAACATGAGGTTCCTGGTTTCCGGCATTGGTTAAATCAGAACCATACACCATTATATCTCCAATTTCTTGGTCCTCCGCTTCATCTACCTAGTCACGCCCTTGATTTCGCCGTTCTGATCTTATCTAATCTCTGAAGCATAGATTTAACAACAAAAGTATATCCTTCTTTCTTCTTCAAATTATGTAGTAAAAGAGAAATTTCAGCAATATGAACTAAACCATTTGCAATAGTAGGATAATTTGCAATATTTGAA